TTAAAATTTAAAAAATTACCCAGAACTAAGCACAGTCTAAGCGCCACTCTGTACAAGTGTTTACCAAAATGCGTTTAGACTGTTTATGTACTGGAGCACTTTTCTAATTTTGTGAAAACTATTGAAAAATGTGAAAATGCCGCCAAGCTAAGCACAGCATAAGTGAAAATGTCGCACAGAATTATTCGCAAATGCGTTTTAAACTGTGACTATACGGCAGCACTTCAATTCAATTTTGTGTAAATTAGGAAACTATTTTTTTTTTAAATTGAATTCGAAATGAAATGCCGATTGTAATGTGTTGGAGATAAATTGAATTATTTATAATTTACTTTCGATTTGCTCAGATATAACAAGCTAGCAAAAATAATGAAAGTTACAGTATTTGTATATATATATTTAAAAACGTTTAAAATTTCTCGAATATTTCATCACGGTACGGGAAGTTTCAGCAATTTGCCTTAAGGCACGATGCCTCACACCACTAGTTTTTTTAAGAACCTATTATCTGTTTTCAGCAGTCTTCAACTGTTATTACTCGTTCCCTATGATACTTCATCTAGACCAATTTTTTTATATAAGTTTCTATTATCTATTTTCAGCAGTCTTCAACTGTCTATTACTCGTTCCCCGTGATACTTCATCTTGACCAAAATATTTCTAAGTTTCTATCCTTTTTTTTCAGGTGTCTTCAACTGCCTATTATTCCTTCCCTGCTTTTTCACCGAACGCAAATAGCAGCAAAAGAGGCCATGGTCCGTCAAGGTATGGACAACGAGAAACAAGCCTGGAAGTCCATAAAGAAGAACCATATAGCAGCATGGTCACTTATTGCTGCCTTCTTTGTACTTGTCTTCAATTTTGTACTTCTTGAAACGTAAGTAGAGAAATAATAGTAATAAATGGTTGTCTGCCCGAAGGCAGGTCACCACAAATCCATAAATGATTTTCTTTCCCATGTTTATTATCCCATTAACACTATTCACTTTTTAGTGAATAGGAATCTCCTTCTGTAGATAAAACTGTCCTGTGATAACTTGATCCAAAACTTGTCCTGTGAAGCCCACATTTTGATAAAGATCTGATGCTATTAGGTTGTTCCAATATCTAAAATGTTTTACCATGTCTTGGTCTTCTAATTTCTAGTTTGGGAACTTCTCTAACGATGGACCAGTTTGCCTGGACAAAATCTCAAGCGTTGTACTACATGGGTGTAGTTATGAGTGTTGGAGCAGTAGTTGCCTGTATTACTTTTGCTGCCATTGGACCACTTTGCAAGTTAGTAACATATTTTCTCAAACAACAATAATAATCATCATCCAACTATATGTCCATTAATTTCTTCAGAGTATTTGAAGAGCGCAAAGTTTTGCTATGGGGTGGTTTCTTCCTCATGGTCCTTGGACGAGCTGTGTATTTACCATATTCAAGCCAAAAATTACAAATCATGGATGAAAATTTGGAGTATGATGACTTTTATTCAAATGACACACTTGTGAACTCAACTTATGGGTAAATAATAACAATTAGAAATAATTATACCCAAGTAGAAACTGATACTAAATTTTATTTTCCTCAGTATGAATGCAACTGATAGACCAGAGCCTGTGGGTTGTCCTCGAGACCAAGAATGGTGCCTCTACACACCAGCTATGACCATAGGACAGTTTATATTCGGATATGCCTTAACAGCTGTCGGATATCCTATTGGTGTCACTTTGATTCAAGCCATTTTTTCAAAGATTTTGGGACCAAGACCACAGGTAATAAAATCTAATATGAAGTCTACTTGAAGATACTAAACTTCATCAACCAACCATCAACCAAAATTAAGTAAAGCCTTCTAAATATATTTATTATCTAAATCATATCTTTACTTTTAACTGCTATAGTACTATTTTTATTAAATTTGAAGTCTTCTAAATCCAGCATTTGCTTATTTCCTTTTCTTGGATTTTCAGGGTGTCTGGATGGGCCTTATGACAGGTTCAGGTTGCCTTTCACGAGTCCTGGGACCAGTTTTTGTAAGCGTTGTCTACACAAGATTTGGCACAATTTGGACATTTTCCTTGACAACTGCTATGATGGCATTGGCAATGATAGGTAAACACATTTAAAACATTGAAATTTCATTGAATATGTTTACTACTTTCAAATCTATTATTGTTTTAAGGTTTGGCAATAGTAAAAGACAAGCTGGTTACTCCCACATTCGAAAAGGCTGATCAGAATGATGTAGAAAAGTTATCAAAAAATGTAGATGATGATGTTGCCAAAACAAATCACGTTTCAAATAACCATGAGAACAACACTGTTGAAAGTGTTCCTTTAAAAGAGACTATCAGTAACGAAGTAAATGAAAAAGGTGATTCGAGTAGTTAATGATACTTGTATGTAAATAATGTGAATGGGTGATAAAATGATATTTTAGTAACTTGATATAGATATCTATTTGCATTTAAACTCGCAACAGATTTATTGTAGTATATTCTACGATTTTGTTAAATACATGTAATTGTTTACACATGTTATAGGTATGTATATAAATCTTTATAATATTTTGTTATATTCATATTAAGACTGAATGCAAAAGTACTTTAAATGCATATGCATATACATAAACATTACGTTAAAGACATTTTATTATATATATTTTATATATATTTTATATTGAAATAAAGTTTTTATACTATCAATTTTGAATGAGTAATTCTAACTATTTATATATATATAGTTATATAGATTTTAGATACTTACCTTTTGGCTCAGTCGATTACTTTTCACCTTTATACATTTCTTTGATGATTCAGGTCCCCATGTCCTTTCAAGTTTTCGATGAACTTTCACAGAATCTAGAAATTATCATTTATATATAAAAAGTAATATTTGCAACATGGTAAATACAGGTTAGGTACAGTACAGATTTACAAATTAAATATTACAAGTATGACATGCGTAATTTATTGCAAATAAATAAATACCAGTATGAACTAAAGCAATACAGAATTATGTACTGGTGAGTAAATTCAACAACAATATAATTAAACTAACAATAATATTCAGTTGTCAAAATTTAACGTCCATTTTGTGTGGTTACATTATTTAGTATTTTTGAGTATTTATAAACATACTACATGAATATAAAGTGGCATCAAGAATTTACCTTGTTATATAAAGTATTGTCATTCCATTTTAATAGCACAACACTGATTAATTTACATATTTTGTACAAATTTTCTAAATTTGAAGCCATATTGACAAGGATATGAGATATGAAGTATTCTTTCATGTTCCTTTTTCGTAAGTGATACCAACCTGGCGCGAGTTCGCGCCACTTAACACAATTCAAAGTTTCATAAATAATTATTAAAAATATTAATATTACGTGCATTTATTGAATATAAAAATATAATATCACTTATTTAATATTGTATAACGCAATATATTTATTTATTCTTTATTGTTGTGTCAAAAACATTAATTTTTTTCCCATCATTGGCACTGATTTAATTTTGAACAAACTGAAGTTTGTAAATTTTGTAATTTGATTTTATAATTTAATTTTTTAAATTATTTATAATATACAGTATAAAAAGTGTTTTAATGTTAATAGTGATTAACAAATTTGTGCAAGAACTATATGTAGTTTTAAAAATCCTTACAAAGCTTTTACCAATGGTGAGTAACTTTTTTCATATACTTTATTTTATTTGATGTCATACATATAACATGAATTCCAAGAAAAATAACAATATTAATATTAGTTTACTTGCATTTAATTAATTATATAAATCAGTTTACAACAAATCATCAGAAATTATGTATTTAAACCTTTTAGGTATAGATTCACCAAACCCATCAGTCAATGCACAAAATCCTGTTTGCTTTAAATCAGAATAGATATTGCTTTGAATTATAAGATAGTTTCAATGGCATATGACTCAGGTACATATATAAATAAACTCACTACAGGTTCTCTAATCATTTTAGTAATAATTTCAATTACATTTATTACTAACCTTACTTGACACAACTCGAGATACCAAAAGTTTAATGTCTTTTACTACCATTACTGGTTTAAACAGAAGGCGCTACAGAATGTGTCTCAGTGGAAATTCTGTCACATAAATCAATTGTTCCACAAAATATTCCTGACAACATTTGATTCAGGTACATACTTATACCTGATTACTGCAGGGCATCTAATAACTTTAATAACATGGCTTAGTCGATGTGTTGAGGACAAACATTTCAGACACTTTGCTGGAAAAAAGATTTTAGTATTAAATTTTGTATAATATATTAAGTGTAACAGGTTATATAAAGGAAAATATGATTTACGTAAAAAAACTAGTAGAAATTTAAGTTTTTATTTGTCCATATAAATTTTATTTACTATAAATAAAATAGTGCATTAGAGTCCTTAATAAATACATTTTTGTAATACAAATACTTATCATCTAGTTTATCTTAAAAGTGAACATAATATAAAAAACGTGTTAATGAAGAATTCACATTGGGTTTTTTTCTTAACTTTCGAATAATTAGACAAAAAAAATTTATATACTTTACATTAGTTATAACTTTGTTAAAAAAAATATAGTTTATACAATTAAAATCTTTTATTGAACAAGTTATAAGTAAATTCAAATATCATTCTTTAAAGAAAACTTTGGCCTTTAGAAAAAATCTGATACAAAGGCACTATTTTTTAATATAAATATAAATATATGTATATATATATATATATATATATATATATATATATATCTAATTCCTTACAAACCTTGTAAATTCTTCTTTGTCAACCTTACAACTATTATCATACAAAATTTATAAATTTAACTCCATTTATCAAACTACAACATCAGACTTCTTCTTGCCGATGTCTTCAGCTTCCTGAACAGTATCAGGAAGTCTCGTGTCCAAGGTTTCTGGAAACTGTAGTATCAGAAGTCCAGAAATTATGGCACATCCACCGAACATCAGCATTGGCAGTGATGGCATGAAACGAGCCTAAGAATAGAAATAGAATTAATAAAGCAAAATGATAATTGAAAATAATTAATTAAACAAGTGATATTTTGGCAATCTTATCTATGCTAATCATTAGCACAAAGATTTTTTGAAATAATTAATCTAATCTATCTAATTAATAATATGCTTTTAACAATTCTGTCATCGTAGAAACATATTATCAGGCATTATATTTGAAGTAATAGAATATAAAGCATCAAACGCTTTTCTTTACTTTATTCATTTATTCACCAAATTTGTATCTCCTGATTCCTGAATAGAAATTATTATTTAAAATTTATATAAATTATTTATCAATTATTACCAATAGTGGTGTCTGCGGTGCAACCATGCTGCCAATTCTGCCAAACATCGAGCATGTTGCCAAAAGTGAATGCCTAAGTGATGTTGGAAACAATTCGGCAGTGTATACATATAATACAGTGAAGGCGACTGTTATTGAAAATTTGCCCAACAGGTATAGAGTTAGTCTCAACCAAGCCGTCTCTGAAAAAAAAAACAGGAATATATATATATATATATATATATATATATATATATATGTATTATATGTATTATACATACCTGCATCTACGTAATTTGAGACTACACAGGACAACCCACTAATAAGCAAAGATGCACAAAGTGAACTTCTTCGACCAAATTTATTCGATATGAGATATGTGAAGATGTATCTGAAAAAATATAACAAAACTTTAAACAAATCAGTTTAAACTAAAAAAAATTAAAAAAGTTTTAAACATTGGTCAACCATTCATAATTATAATGTTACTATTTATATTACCCTGGTATTTCGATCAGAGACACCAGCACAAAGTTGTAATACTTATTCCCATCGACAGCAACAGAATTCAAACTCAATCCATAATACACAAAAGTATTCGTGAGCCAGCAGAAGGAACAATTAGCAACTCGCAGGAGAAGGAATTTGGATTTTAGTACTGTTAAAATTGGATAGTTTGCCTTTTTGGTAATTTTTTGGCTTCCTGCTGAAGAAAATTGCTGGTGGTTGTTGGCGGTGTCGACGCCGTTGCTTATTAGACGCTTTTCTGTCTGATAACCTGGAAAAAAAACATGATATTTATAATAAAAATATAATACAATATATATATATATATATATATATATATATATTTATTGAAGTAAAACTTCTTTAGGCGCGATATGGGTGTAAAAATTTTTAGGCGCGACACGGGTGTAAATCCGTACAAATGCAACGAAAACGCCAACGTGAAGTTGAGCACTACGACGCAGGTAGGCGCTGATGTCGCGAGTCGCGATCCACTCTCGTCATGTCATGCGTAAGTCGAGCGCTAAACCCTATATGAACTTGCATTAATTGAATCACGTTTTTTTTTACAAAAGAAGAGGTTGCTGTATTATGTCCTCATGGAATAAGACTTTTCTTAGAGAATAAATGTGCCATGGAATATAATAAATTTATATTGAATCTCGTTGAAGACAAAGTAATATCTACTGCCACGGATATTTATGTAGGTTGCCATGCGACAGATCAACAATCATACATTCGTCAGCAGTTTCAAAAAAATCGGTTATTGATACCGGGGCTTTGCCGTATGAAATAATTTTAGTTCTGAATAAATTTTACATAATAACAACTAATATTGATGTAAGTGATGGCTTAGCTAATGGTTGTGTGGAAAAATTAGTGTACATAGAACGTGGCGATAATGATGAACTTCTACGTTTATGGTTTGAATTTCCCGGTAAGATAGGTAACAAAAACAAAGGAAGAAAGCTTCACATCATATTCAAACTCTTAATATCAGTAGGACAGCTGTGCCGATGCTCAGGAGATCTTATTATTATTGATGTTATATGATTATTAAAAGATGATTTTTAAAATTCAAATATGATGTTTTTTTATTTTTATCTTAATTGCCTACTCATACAATATTAAAAGTTTTACTTCAATCGCGTGTGATCCTTACGCGCACTCTTTTTTTATTATAAATGGATACAGCCAATGTGTATAACTGTTATATAGTATTTATTTTAAACTGTACGTTTCGAGAACCATATGCATGCCATCATTCTGCTAAATAATTAAGAAAATTAATGAGGATTTCTGCCTCATATAACATAGAGTTGTCATGGCAACGCTCTTATGCTTGTTTATTAGTAGTGAAAACTGTAAAAATGTCTATCTATTGCTGTGCGATCAGGCGCATTTTACATATAAACAAGCAAGGAAGAATCTTTTGATAACAGCATCATCGAAGTTATCATAAGATTCTTCCTTGTTTAGAATAGATAGAAATTTTCACAAGGTTCACTAGGAATAAACAAGCATAAGATAGCGTTGCCAGGACAACGCTATGTTATGGGACAAAATTGCCTCAATAAGCACAAAAATATTTTAACCGGAAAATATAATCCAAATATATTGACCGATTTATAAACCTCA